CAGCGCACAGTGAATTAAGTCAGTCACTGTCGACGGCGAATTGTGAAAAACACTATAGGAACATTCAACTGGTCGATCTCAATACTGAAACGCCCATCGTTACCTAAAGCTGTTTGCTTTCTTCACATTAGATGGTCGGTCAGATTTTGGAATAAATCACAAATACATAAATCTTAGTTTAGTTATTTTAGCAAATTAGTAGATCCCAAAAAAATTTAGGTGGTGTAATTTTAAATAGGGAAACATGCTTTCAAACAAAAATATGTATTTGCTTGTTTGGTATGCTCCTACCATGGTAAAGCTGTATGTAGCCAGGTACAGGAAAGGGCAAATGCATCACTATTCATTGATGTATCAATAGCACAGTTTCCGTTAGAGTGGATAGTTTATCTGTCTAAAAAAAGTCATATAAGCAGCTGAAGTTTCATCCAGAAAGACAAGTGCATTGAGAACAATGAGTACGGTCGTCCTCCCATGCATACCTCAAGGTCACCCACTCTCTTGTCCAAAATCGACGGTTGTACACGTTTTTGCGTGTGCTTCAACCACCTGGTGCGTGATTTGTCGGAAGATATGCAGCACGCCTACAAATTCCTGGGGCTAGTGCTCGGTTGATTCAACACGATCACTCTGTTCCTGTGTGATTTAAGACCTGTGACAAATTGCTGGTGTGGAGTGAACGGGTCTCAGTTACTATTCTGGTGTCCACCATGACTATCAAGGCAATATTTCTAATGTGCATTTTTCCTAACAGTATTATGAACCAGAGAGAATATTTTATAGGACCAAAAGCTGAAAAGAGCCACTTATCAGGGAAGAGAATATAGATTAGGATAGAATTCCCCAAGACATGTGGATGTTCTTCTTTGAATAAGCAACCCAGAGTAGCCAAGTTGTCTGACATGAGCTCCGCGAATGAAGGATGGTGATATTATAGTTTCCTCATTTTATTAGTTTTTTTCGATCACCACCAGTGATTTTCAGCTCAGTGGGGTACAAGATCCTATCCGAAAGATCATGAATCTGAATCTTGAGAACATTTGAACCTTTTGCAATGGACGTCACTTACATCTCGCAGGCTTTCGCAGCAGATTCTACACCCAAACAATGAGCCCAGTTACTGCGGAATGTAAAATATCAATGTTTAGTCAATCCACCGACCATTCGTGTAACGATACACCAAAGAAGTTTTATCACCGCATTGGCAAACACACCAATTGACATTGCAGCGCACAGTGAATTAAGTCAGTCACTGTCGACGGCGAATTGTGAAAAACACTATAGGAACATTCAACTGGTCGATCTCAATACTGAAACGCCCATCGTTACCTAAAGCTGTTTGCTTTCTTCACATTAGATGGTCGGTCAGATTTTGGAATAAATCACAAATACATAAATCTTAGTTTAGTTATTTTAGCAAATTAGTAGATCCCAAAAAAATTTAGGTGGTGTAATTTTAAATAGGGAAACATGCTTTCAAACAAAAATATGTATTTGCTTGTTTGGTATGCTCCTACCATGGTAAAGCTGTACGTAGCCAGGCACAGGAAAGGGCAAATGCATCACTATTCATTGATGTATCAATAGCACAGAATATTATACTCATTTTCCGTTAGAGTGGATAGTTTATCTGTCTAAAAAAAGTCATATAAGCAGCTGAAGTTTCATCCAGAAAGACAAGTGCATTGAGAACAATGAGTACGGTCGTCCTCCCATGCATACCTCAAGGTCACCCACTCTCTTGTCCAAAATCGACGGTTGTACACGTTTTTGCGTGTGCTTCAACCACCTGGTGCGTGATTTGTCGGAAGATATGCAGCACGCCTACAAATTCCTGGGGCTAGTGCTCGGTTGATTCAACACGATCACTCTGTTCCTGTGTGATTTAAGACCTGTGACAAATTGCTGGTGTGGAGTGAACGGGTCTCAGTTACTAATCTGGTGTCCACCATGACTATCAAGGCAATATTTCTAATGTGCATTTTTCCTAACAGTATTATGAACCAGAGAGAATATTTTATAGGACCAAAAGCTGAAAAGAGCCACTTATCAGGAGAGAATATAGATTAGGATAGAATTCCCCAAGACATGTGGATGTTCTTCTTTGAATAAGCAACCCAGAGTAGCCAAGTTGTCTGACATGAGCTCCGCGAATGAAGGATGGTGATATTATAGTTTCCTCATTTTATTAGTTTTTTTCGATCACCACCAGTGATTTTCAGCTCAGTGGCGTACAAGATCCTATACGAAAGATCATGAATCTGAATCTTGAGAACATCTTGAGATTCTGAATTTCAGTGGTTACCAAAATGGTCAACCAATTTCCTCGCTGCTCTTCTGCTGTAGCAGACTGAGTCGATTTCATGTACATGGTGAAATTCTGATTCAAAGATCGATTGACTATCACGATATCAAAAGTCAGTCCCCTCTCCCTCCAAATATCTCATGTTCCGTTGTTTTTTTAACATCTGTTACACTCAGTGCACCATTTTAAAAACCTAACAGCCATTATGATGCCCACAGATTGGGCATGATGCAAACTAGCAAATTGTTGAAATTATGGCACTAAAACTCGAGACATCCCGGAACGCAAGTCTACAACAACGGTACTAGGTGTGAATGCCTGTGACCACCGTTATGTTGACCTAGCTGAATGATGGTTGGCATCTTCTTGCCAAATTTGGATGCACACGGACGCGTCATCACAATGGTGCAGATCACCAGGTGAGCTCTTGCATGTATGTGGACTCAGATGTTTAGTTTCATCCATAGTATTAGTCAATAGTGAGCCACCAGTTGGTCATGCTGATGAACTGCACCATGCAGTTCACCCTGCAGTCTTATTACCTCTAGATTACTCTTGGTACGAGACTCTCAGCAGAATGCGCATGCAACTCAGAACAAATCGTACGTGGCAATACCCAATGTGCCGGGGAATCCATGGGCGTACTTTGATATGAGAAACATGTCCGAACACATATGATGAGTCTGCTGCTGGCACTGTCTGACAATCCTGCCACAATGATTACTTGAGCAAAGTAAATTACGTATACAGTCAAATCTGGAGGTTGGTCATATAAATAGACCGCGCGATAAATTTGGGAGCAGCATACAGTTGGGAGGGACTAGTAGGATGTTAACCTCCGTAAGAGTCAAGCTGAGAAGAACAACTGACTACATTAAGTTGCGATTAGTAACATCGCTACAGTGGAAAATAATCACTACACAACCCAAGAGAACTACGATTTTCTAGTCAACGCCGGGTGTAACCGTCTACAGTTGGGTCACACTATGATGATAATTCGGTCCTTTCACACTTTGGAAAACATTTTTCGATATCCTTCGTAATTGCTGACCGTACGACAATTTCTTGCCCAGTGTTGGATACATTCCGCAATGCGCAGTCGAAAAAAAGCCATTGAACACAGTGTCCTCGAAATGGATCCTTCGTCAAAAGTGTCATAGGCTGAACAATCAAAATAAATGGACATTCGGTTGGCATTGTATACACATATGTTCCTCATGAAATAAGTAAACATGTAGATGACAGTAGGGTGGGTCAAGCTGTGTAGTCCCTGCTCGGTTAACTGAAACCGCAAGCAATAAATCCGTAGGTGAAGCATTACTCTCTACTACTTTTGGATAACACCAATGTGCTTATTAGGAGTTTTACTAGACCACTCAATTGATGACACAACCTTGATACCGAATAGCAATTAGGACATTGTATTCTAAGTAAAGCCAACTCATGCCGGAAAGACGCAACTGTTTTACCATCATCTGAAATTAACGACTGTGCACATTTCATCCAAATTTCTAAGGCAATTCGAGCTCGCGACTTCCAGGCAGATAATTAAACACTAAACCATTTAGCCATGACTGGCTGATTAGCAGTGCCACTATCTCACACTCTGGCAGGACACAGCGCCACTCATTCTTCAGTGACGAAATCCACACCACGCGGCCACGCGTGCTGACTGATTACTCGAGTAATAAATTCTTAGACGGAAGTTCTAACCATCGTGTGAATTTTTCCTCCTTCAGAGCTACCCAAATTTTGTTGATAGAATGATGGGGTTTGGAAATCCCAGTGGAGACCTCATCTTGTAAGTAAAGTCAATCCTTGTTGAGATTCGGAAATCAGCAGATAAATAATTCCAACTTATCGGGAACCAAAGGAGACGAGAATTCAAAGACTATAAGTAAATATAAAACAGTCCTTCACTTCGGTTTTTATCACGATGTTTTGACTGCGGTTTTCCGTTTTGTGGTTGGTCTTGCCAAATTTTCATTCAAAAAGCGCATACGCATAGCGTTCCAGTTAACTATATCAAACATAAGAATTGATACGCTTTTGCATTTCCTAACCTATACGCTTTCTAATGCAGGTTTGAAAGTTTACCTCTGTGTGTTTGGGCTCGAAATGCCTAAGCGATATGTGCGATTCAAAATTTCTGTATATACTGATTACATTTTGAATGCGTTATTTATTCCTTTGTGACCAACGCCAAAATCAAGGTATACTGTCTGCCACCGTTAATTAGAACCCGTTTCAATGCGGTATAACACGTTCTCGTCTGCAGGATTCTCATCCCTACTATTTTGACACGATATTATCAGCAGAGACATTAACTGCTTCTTCAAACCAACAGTCGCGATTCACCGTGCCTAGTAGCACAGATAACACTCATCCAATCAAATTGCAAACATTAACGTCCAATAACCTGGACGAGAAACGGCCAAGATAACCTATAAATACAAATCAGCATTCACCAACTTATTTGAGAAAAATCGCAGCGGTCAAAAGGATGGCCACGGATAAATTGATCAGCAGTTCAGTGGTTCCAACAACACGCAAGGTTCTCATTCCAGTCAGCACCAAGTCAAAGTCAAATAGCGTCATCGAGTGGTACCTTACTCACGAAAAACATGCGGGAGACTACCTCATATTTGTTAACGCTATCAAGCCAAACACTATCACAAAACAATTCAGTCTACCTATGTTATTGGGTACAACCTTGAAGATATCGGGAAAGTCTGTGAAAGATGGAAGACATGCGTGCCGGGACGCCATGCGGCTTGCGAAGAAGAATGATATTCAAGCACATGCGTACCTCTATGTGGATCCGGACGTGGACGTTGCGCTAGCCAAATCAATCCGGGAACTAAAGCCAGACCTAGTACTAATGAATGGCCCAAAGTGCACGGCACTTCAGAGCAAAAATGCAAAGACAACTATCAATTACCCAAAGGCTGTTTGCTCTTGCAAATGCAATTTCTGCTCACCTCCGAGAAGACCAATGGTAATATGGAAACACAGATGAGTTAGAATAACATCATCTTTGAACGAATTGTGAAACAAACAAGTGACGACACCCATGTACAAATCGACACTGACCCTACATTTTATACTTTTTCACTGCACAATTTGTTCTTGTACAGTTTTGAACCTGTCATAAACGTAACTTCCAGAAAAAATCTCCTTTCTGCCTCTGCGCCAATAATACTAGGTGTGTACTCATGTAACCATCTTACCAAATATCCTTTAGGACGCGTTAGGAGTAATGCAGACTACCGGATATCGGTTGAGGACTTCAACTGTTGTTGAATCAGAAGACTAGCACAGTAGTTATTTTTTCCTAGAGATCGATAGACATTGTTTAACAAAGTGAACCGAGACGTAAGGTGAGCAAGCATCGTTCGAGCGTGCGTAGCACAATGACGATAGATTATGAGGTTGTGGAATGAAACAAGCAATGAGAGTCTTAGCCCTAAACATCGATGTTTAAAGTGAGTAAAGGAGTCGAGTAATTTTCTCCGCTCGAGTCAAGAGATTTACCGGAGACGCATAGCCTTTTCCAAATACATTGAAGCAACTCCACTAACAGGACTCCGGTACAAAAGTGCGCACCATTTTGCTTAGAACAAATGTGTGCCCGAAATTATTGCCCCTATCGACTGAAAGTTAACTCAGCCAAAGTATTCCGATAACTTTGAGGGTTGAGTGAAGACATCTGAACAGCTAGAGGGTCAATTATCAACTTTTATTAGTGACCCATCACTTGTATCGCTAAGTAAGCTCAAGGCATAGGGGAACACACACTTATCAAACCTATGAGCGTTTGTAAATCGCTCCACACAAGGAAAATGTGGCCGTTCCTATAAGGTACGATTTGCACACTGTAAATTTGTTTGCCTTAGTAAAGATCAACTCATTCAGGACGAGGAATTCGTCAGGCCAAAGCTCAAACTTTTTTCAATTTATATCAAGTAGAATGATATTTTTAGAGTACAATATGAAGCCATTGCGACCTGTGTGTTGTTAGCTGGCACTCACAGAAATAACTAATCATACAAGGCGCCAACAGTGCAAGACGTATTTCACGTTAATTTTCGGACCAGAAAAGTTGCAAAATAATACAATTTACCCACATCTTGTAATGAGACATAAAACTGGTGGTGAGAGCGTCTAGTTTGTTCCTACCAGTGAAGAAGTAGCAATGAAATTAGTTGTACAGATTTATTCCTCACTTTCCGCCACATCATGTCATTCAGCAGAGAATATTCCAGAGACTCATTTGAGGTTTAAGCTTTTTTCCCACTCCACCGTAAAACTGCTGTGAAAGCACGGTTGAAGTTGGCATAAATACAGCAATTGAGGGTCGGTGGTAGAGGACAGTGAGTGGTAGTAGCACACTGACAACACAAATAGCTTTCTTTTGGGGCGAATATTGCCGAAAACATTCTTGCTGAACAAGGCAGCCCCATCTGTTCAAGATTTCAATAATTGTTAACCACAGGATTGTGCTAACTATAAGATGGGAATCAACCTTGATAACCAAATCCAGTTGTGGTTTCAAAAAAACGGTTTTATGTCTCAACGGACACATGTGCCGCAATACGGTACAAATTTTGTTATTGCCCTTTATTTCTTGGCTTGCGTGATGGTAGATTAGTTGAAAACCGAACACGGGAAAGGAATTGGATACCCTGTGAGTTTTGTGCTTTCGATAGGGCCAGATGTGTTTAATACTGATAATAAAAATGACAACCCACGAATATTTCCGTATCCTCGGAACACCTGAACATCACAACACCAAGCATACCCCTTATGAGTGCAAAAAACACAATAGTAGTCAGCCTCAAACCCATAAGCGAATGTACAGATCAGCATTTCAGTGAGCACTTTAAATATCAGTTGCCACAAAACATCTAAAAGAAATTTACGAAAGCATTCCTCAAGGAATTAGAAAGAAGTCTAGACTAGTTGTTATACATCGGTAGTGTCAGTTTTTTTCATAGCCCTGAGGTCCATTGCTCTATCGTATTAACTTCTTAACTGGCAATGTTTTATTCTATTTACATTTAGAATAAGCTATTGAGTAAGCTGGGGTCCCAAATATTCGCCATGCAAATTGGTACGAAGTTAAACCGGGTGCTTCTGTTTTAACCTTCATTCTGTCTCAATTTTCCCCCACGGGATTCAACAGTTAACGTCGGATTTGATGAAGAGACGTGGAACCACGTGCGGAAGATTGTCTTTTTAAGGCTCTTTCAGACTGTATTCGAACGGTTCATGGAACGAGTCTACTGCAAATTTATGAGGAATGGTACATTAGGTTTTGAAGGAGGAAACATTGTTCCCAGTCTGAGACGTTCATGATTTTATTCCCTTGCAATTGCGAGCAGATAAGTGTTTGATTCGAATGTTTCATCCAAACAGCACGGCCTATTTTTTCAATGTTTTGTGACTCTCCTTCAGATGACTAGTCCTTATTTATTTGTTGCCTGCACAATACCGAGAAAGTTGACTAGGAACCAGTTTGGCAGTGCCCCTTTTGGGCACACCTGTCTATGCGGTCACCGAACAGACAAGGTAATGCATTATTCGGAAGTGCAGTCTGGCCGTTCTTTTCATGCCTACTGCCATGTAAGGAGTTAGAAAATTAACCAGTGTAAAAATGAGCATGGGTTTTATGCTTTCCAAAGGGATGAAGAAACTGTTGATTTGTCATCCCCATGTTTTGGGTATAACGTGGATATTCCTGTGGAAATTTCCGTGTGTCTTCCGGGTGAGCCACAAAAATTTGTCTTCGAGCAGGTCTGACAAGCTATTCAGTAGCCATCCTATCTTTTGGTATCAGGGACTCTGAATAGTTGTGACGGCATTTTCGTAGTCACTAGAAGGAAGCGCTTTGGTTCGGTTATCGGCCATACCGTCCGAAAACTCAAGAATTTAATCTTCTGTTTAATCCGACGGTACAGTGACAAACAAGGAAGGTGTAATTAGTCCATGGTAAGTTTTCAGGCTTAATCTCAACGCCACTGAGCAAAACCGGGTCTCATACAATGCTCCGCACTTATTCAATCACAGAAAGGTTTCAAAAATTTCAAACACTGCAAGTTAATTCGAGATTTTAATATCAGCACGAACAACAAGCACTCATCTTGATGCTGTTGAGAGCGCAATCAGAACCCACAGTTACATAGCATTGCCACTGCTACACAGTTGAACATTTGGAATTGTTTCTAGATGGAAGAAATTCAAGCTACATATAAAAAACCTTCACAATTTTCTTTAAGACTGAAGTACTCTTACATATAGCTCTCCTTCAAGCAGGGGAGCAACTAAATCAGTCGTATTTCCAAATGATTCTTCAAGAGATACCGTTGACCGATTTTCTCAATTCCTAGGGAGCGTTGTTTTTCAGAAAGCAGCATCACCTACTAGCAAATGCGACAAAAGATTTGGATGAAACAAGCCATATGTTGTGTGCTGCCAATGATAACCTATTGAGGTTTGGATCATCATAAATATTACCAGGTTCCTGCCTCGAGGATTATGTTATCGTTGGCATCATTCGGAAGATTCAGCTCACTTTTGGTTTTCTACGTTAATTATCTCTCTTTGGTTTTTCTTGAGCTTCCTTTTTCCAGATGTACTTAAAAAACACTACAGAGACTATTCTCGTCACTTTATAAACTGTGCCCATACGCTGCAAGCCCAAAGCAATGACAAATGGTTGACTTCCCACAGTACGTATTGGATGAAACGATAAGTTCGATTGTGGTAATCACATCTTCCCCCACCGGAGGCACCTACAGCGGTTTCAGAGCTATGCCGTGACTAATTTTAGAATACTGTTCGGAAAAAAGGTCTAGAGTACATTTATAGGATGAACTCAGTAAAGCACATCATGTCTGCAAACACAACATATAGTTGAATGTCAGGTCAAGTGAGAAAGGCTACAGTGTCAATGAGGTCAAGCTGTTTGAAGGAAAAGTGATTAAATCAGCTAAATTTTAGGAAAATTGCATTGAATAACAAATGTAAGGCATTTTTAGACCACTTAGGCTCATCAACCTAGGTTTACATGGACAGGTAGATTGACTGGATAATATGGACAAACGTACTAGCCCCTTATGTGAATTCACCAATATATAGCAAGCATTTAACGTAAAAATGCGTGAAAATGATCTAGCATGATAGAAAATACCGTAAAGGCTATAGATAAGGTAAACAGAAATGTCAGAAAAGAAACGACCGTGCCAAATGCGAATCGAAATGCACGGTACCCATACTTTGCCCTGAAACGCCCTGCAAGCTTACTACATTGTAAAAAAAGCCGATGAACCTTACCGTCCCATTTCGAAAAGTTTCACAGCGTACAAGCTTTTCTTTCCTGCTCCACAAACAAAACCCTTCTCAATGAAAGCCCGAGATGCCTTCCTCATTCATCCTTGAAGAACTATTGTCGATTTTTCTCCAAAAACTGCAATCCACTCGAAAACAGTTGATCTATACTGTTTCATTCGGTCGTGAAAGAACATTTTGCCCCCGATTTTGCATCTCTACACTCCAAGAAGTGCGCCTGCTGCCTTCTGTATTTTGAACAAACGACAAATCGGTTGTCAGACAATCTGAAAAGCAGTCTGTTTCCCACCTTCACTCCGGAGCGCTCATAAACATTCATAATATTTCGAGCTAAGAACTGATACACTTCACCTGGTGGAGTAGAAGTACGCAGTTTCGAATGCACAGTCTGCACGTAAATCTGACTGCACGCATCGGACACAAGTAATATCGCCACTCAATGGAGGCAGTTGCACTCAGTAATCATGGTCAAACTCGACCCGAAAAACAAGCTTCCCAGGCGGGATCAACTCGGGAACACCTGCTGGTGTGCCCACTCAATTTGAACTAAAACATTGTAATCTTGTAATTGTATTAATTACCAGAAACGTTACTTTCATCAGAATGCCTTCTCTTACTCCAGGTAGTCTTTCGCCGGTTCCAAAGTTTCAACAGCAGCCACAAGGTTAC